AGACACAAACAAAAACACACACACACACACACACAGAGAGACACACACACACAGACACAAAGAGAAACACAAATATTTATAAGTTAAAAAGAAACAATGATTTTATAGTATATTCCCTGATACTTCACATACAGTATTAGTCTCTTAGATTTAAAGGAATATATATATATATATCCTAATGTAATCTATTGACAGAGCTTGCAGTTTTTAGGTTTTTATGCTTTGCTCTAAAGAAAATCATGTCAACTGAGGTGGTCATTGATAAAGACCTAGCCAAAGTATGGTGTACTGCATGGGACATCCTGAATCAGCATCATTCATTTTCCCATGTCAAAAAGTTGACAAATACACTATTGGACTGTGAAGTGACAGACAAAGGGACACTAAGACTGATGATTTCTGAGCAAGTCTCCAGGCTGATTTTCTCAACTCAGTCCCAGGGCAGCTTCCAGCTCCTTCACTGTTTATGACACTCAGGATGTGGTTCCAACACTGTGTCTCTCGCACAGTAATAGACAGGAGAGTCATCAGATGTCAGGCTGCTGAGCTCCATGTAGGCTGTGCTGGAGGATGTGTCTGCAGTCAGTGTGGCCTTGACCTGGAATTTCTGATTGTAGCTAGTACTGGTATCTCCAGGATAAATACCTCCAATCCACTCCAGGCCCTGCCCAGGCCTCTGTTTGACCCAGTGCATAGCATAGTCAGTGAAGGTGTAGCCTGAAGTTTTGCAGGACATCTTCACTGAAGCTCCAGGCTTCACCAGCTCAGCACCAGACTGCTGCAGCTGGACCTGGGAGTGGACACCTGTTATGAGAAGCACAGATTGGATGTCACTATCACCTGAGAACATGGCCCCTCCTCAAGTCTGGAACTTGGAGCCCTTAACTGTAGATGCTGTCACCAGGAAGAGGATGATCCAGCTCCATCCCATGGTGAGGACCTGTGAGCTCAGTGACTGTGGAGAGGAAACTGTTTGTATGTTGTTGGTGGTGTGGACATCCCTGTATTTACCACCATAGGCTCAGGAGATTTGCATATTCATGAGCAGGATAGTTCTTCGATGAGGACCTAGTCCAGCTGGAGAAGGTGGTAGAGGACACCTGGGTCAGTCAACTGGATGCTGAGGTGAAAATCCTCATCCTGTCTGAGGAAGCAGCCATTCCTGAGACCTGTGCAGACCCTGTGGATATAAAATAAGCCTAATCCTTCACTTTCCAATTAGAATCCCAACCAAATCATCAGGTCATTTCCCTGACAAAATTGATTTCAAGGTGGTGGTAGTGATGAGGATAACTGTCAATGGAAATTCCCAAAACTCACAAATTAGGAGAACTTTCACTCTTCATTCATATATAAGATGTTAATATTTTCATTCTCAGTATGATGCAGTTGTATGTTCATGGTGGCTTTTTTTGATAAATCTTTTCCTTTTTATATCTCAATCCTTTCAATTGAGAAAAAGAAAGTTTGTGGGGCACTGGCAGAAATATGGAAAAGGTCTGAGAGGTGTTGGGCATGGGATCACATCAGAACACATTGCATAAAAATGTTTTACAAAAATTAAAAACAAATAAACAGCTAAAATCAAATGAGAAAATTAAAACTGTGGAATATTTGACAATGAATTTTTCTCATGTTTGAAAATTATAGACTTCACATACCAACTGTGGCAGTTGTTGTTCAGCTAATGAAAATTAAGAAGCAAGATCACAGAGGTTCTGGAGTTCCCTCCAGTCATCTTTTTATTTCCATCCCAGGGATTAATGACTCCCTTGTGCCACAGACAATGTGGGAAATCAAGAAAGTTTTTATTTTTGTTTTTATTCCATCTGACCACAAGTAGCAAAAGGTTACCTTAGATGTTCCATGAGAAAACAATGGTGTGCTTAGTAGATCAGAAATAGGTAGTAATTGTGACAGAATGTGACATGGCCAAGGGTCCCTAGAAGATTATTTGAACAGGAAGAAGAAACTGTCCCGCACTACCGTCTCGACAGCAAGAACGACGCGGCACACTCAGGATCCTTCTGAGTAAAGCTTTAATGCATCTTGAGAGGGAGAGCATAAGCTTACAGAGCAGAGACCCCGAACTCCCAAAAACCCATCCCTTATATAGGCTGACAACCGCCGCCTTGGACGTGTCACCTCCTGACTGGCTGCAGCTCATCGGACCACATGACGCCATCGGAGAGGCAGAGACCAAGGGATGGAAAGTTACAAAGTTACCCAGTGCATGTGCACTAACTTGTAATGGCTCCTTACATCCTGGGTAACTTTGTAACGGCTCCTTACATCTCCCCTTTTTATTAATTAATGATAAGGCTTCATATTTTTACAAGCAAGTAGGTCACCCATACATTGAGGGATAGAGGCAGATGTTGTACCTCCCAAATCATACAATAAGACTGTGTTCGAGAGTCGCCACTAGGCTGTTAGCTTGACCTGAAGCGCTCTCGACCTGTCCTCCGCCATTTTTCTGGGAAAGGGAAACTGGGGCACACATATAGCTCCCCTGGATCTTATGAGAATAGGATCCGGGCCTCTTCAAAGACCAGTTAAGATATCTTTCCATTTTACCATTTCCTTTGACCTTTTAGGTTCTGAGGTCTGGCGCTTGGCCGCAGTATGGCCCTGAGCGTCAATGTTTAGAAAATTAAGGGTAAAGAGTGCCATGGATATTGCAACTCTTGGCACCGAGGGTAAGGATGCTCCCATTCCCTCCTTTTGTTT